AAAAAAAGAAAAGGGCAAGACTAGCTGTTACTTAAAACAAGCAATGGCAATAGAACAGTATATTTTACATTCAAAACATTAAATGTATTGAAATATGTGGCCTTAACCACATATTCCATTACGTTATTTTTATATACATATAATCTTTTTCTCTTAGGTTATTAAGTATGGAATGTCCAATTTCCTTAAGTACTATGATTGACAGTTGATATTGCTGACATTTCACTTTGACACATTTTTTTTTTTATTGTGAAGGTACATCTCATTCTTTCAAATGCACATTTTGGTTCATGATTACCTTTCAATTTTTTTGGAGCAATTTTTGTGAAACCATGGATAAGTAAAAAATTAACATTATTTTTGAATATGAGTTCCATCGTGGAACCAATGCAGCACAGACAGCTTGAAATGTCATCGAAGTGTTTGGGAAGGATATGACTAATGAATGCACAGTATGTCAACGGTTTGAGAAATTCTGTTCTGGTGATTTTGATCTTGAAAATAAGCCACCTGGGCAACCTGAGACCAAAGTGCATAATGACGAGCTGAAAGCTGTAGCTGAAGTGAATCCATCTCAACCTACTCGTGAATTAGCAGCAAGGTTTGACGTTACCATTCCAACAACATTGGACCATGTGAAACAAATCTGCAAGGTAAAGAAGCTGCATAGATGGGTATCATATGAATTAAAAGAGCGTCAGAAGAGAAATTGTCTCGAAGCTTGCCTTTTTTGCTGTCACAACATAAAGGTGAGCCATTTCTACACCATATCGTTATATGTGATGATAAATGGATGCTGTCTGACAATTGCGATCGTTTGGCACAATGGTTGGATACAGATGAAGTGCCAAAACGCAGTCCATAACTGAATATTCATCAAAAAAAGCTAATAGTGCCTGGTGGTCCGGTGCTGGTATTACCCACTACGGCTTCATGAAACCTGGTCAATCTATGACAATGGGTGACTACTGCAACCAGTTGGATGAAATGATGAGGATGTTTGCAATGAAGTAGCTGAGACTGGTCAACAGAGACAGGTCAGTCCTCTTGTAATACCACATGTTGCAAAAAACAACACTGCTCAAGCCACAGAAGCTGGACTTGGAAACTCTATCATCCACCATATTCACCAGACCTTGCACCAATTGACTACCACTTCTTCCAGGGAAAAATATTCAATTCTCAACCAACTGTGGAAAACGCCTTTTGCAATTTCATCGCCACTCGCTCTCCAGGCTTCTTCGCTGCTGGCACAAGCAAGCTAATGTTAGGGTGGCTTAACTGTGTTGACAGTTTAGGTACATACTTTGACTAACTGTACTGCTTCTTGTTTGAGATATAATAAACTTAACTTCTAATTTGAAATCAGACATTTCATATTTAATGACCTAATAGTTATAGCATTATCATTCCACAGATAACAGAATCAGAACACAACTTTCTCCTGTGCCACCTCCTGCTGGTCTTTTCCGAAACAAGTTCAATGTCACACATACAAAGTAGATACATTCAGTCAGTTTTGACCAAATATATACATATATAATGGGCCAAAGTAGTATATTTTTAAGTATTTATTTGGCAAAATTTAGTGTTTCTTAATTCACATATTGAAACAAATAACATACTTACTATCTTTCAAAGTTGCCATATTTCGAACTTGGACCCTGAGAATAAAGGTTTCAAGAACATAACGTAAGAAAAAAACTTTCAGAGTTAACATATTCACTTAAACAATACCCCATAAAGAAACAATCTATCGGCCGGGCACGGTGGCTCACGCCTGTAATCCTAGCACTCTGGGAGGCCGAGGCGGGTGGATCGCTCAAGGTCAGCAGTTCAAGACCAGCCTGAGCAAGAGCGAGACCCCGTCTCTACTAAAAATACAAAGAAAGTAGCTGGACAACTAAAAATATATAGAAAAAATTAGCCGGGCATAGTGGTGCATGCGTGTAGTCCCAGCTACTTGGGAGGCTGAAGGACAGGAGGATCGCTTGAGCCCAGGAGTTTGAGGTTGCTGTGAGCTAGGCTGACACCACGGCACTCTAGCCTGGGCAACAGAGCCAGACTCTGTCTCAAAAAAAAAAAAAAAAAAAAAAAAAGAAAAGAAACAATCTATCAAATACAGGACTCTGAACGTATAGGAACAGACTCGTCTATATATTTAAATTTCTTAATACTAATACCAAACCCTGTATCAAAGGCGTTTTATCTGGCCTCGCTCTAACATGTTCCTCTCACACGAACCACAACTGCATTCATAAATGCTCCAGTTCCCCCTCCATGTCCTACCTGTACCCCTTCCATAACAGCAAAGGCCTTCCCCTTGGGAGGCTGTCCAACCACAGTTCCAATCAAGGTCAGCCACCTCTAAAAAGCATCCCTTGCCTTCCTTAGTTCACAGCGACCTTTTCAAATAATACTTAGAGTCAAGGATACAGTCTGACATGGCCACACGTGTGAAAGCGGAGTTTATTTGAACTGATTTTTCACTTTTTCAATTCAATTCAATAAACATCTACTAAGCAGCTTCTATGTTTCAGGCATTGGTGAATAGGACATGGTCTCTGACCACAAGAAGCATATTATTATCTCATAATTAACATGCAAATGCACAAAAGTCAAAATGATCAGACTTAAATGTCAGTGAAAGATGAATGAGAGAGCCCCTGCCCTAGCAGGGAAGATTTGTTAAAACATTAAATTATCCCTTCGCCTTCGAATCCACACAGAGTACCTGTGTTGGCAGGCAAAGCTACGTGGGAGAATTGAAGAATCAGTAAATTTGAGCATAAAGGAGGGCAAACGGAGGCCATACCCAGGAACGGGATGTAGTTTTCAAAGATGATGTCATGTTCAGGGAACAGTGAGGAACGGCAGAAGGGGAAGCTGGAGACGTGGGCTGGGCATTAAATATCCCTTTATACTTAAACATTAAGAAGTAAATCAGTTTAAATATTACTTTGTAGGTAGCAGGCAAACAATGAATGATTATAAGCCCACAAATCAGGTTAGTGTTTCAGCAGAGAATCTCAGATGGCGGTGACAAGCATAAAATGAGGTTGGAATATTGATGAACACTGAAGACATGGAGACGCGGGCTGCTGCAGCTCTCAGAGAGGAGACAGCGAGAACCTGGATGGATGTTGGCAAAGCAACAAGAGATTGATTTGAGAGTAAATTTTTAGTGGAAAGGAAAACAATAAGAATGCTTTAAGGTTTCTAATTTAATGACCTCAGTGGATGGTGACTAATATTCCTTGTGGGCATAGATGCAAAAATCCCCAACAATGCATTGGCAAATTGAATCCAACAATGTATTAATATTAAAAAGAATTATATACCACGACTAAGTAAGATTTATTCCAGGTATGCAAAGGTAGTTCAATATTAATCTAACACCGATTCACGATAAGGTCTCTCAGTAAACTAGGAATAAGGAAAAACTTCCTCAACTTGATAAAAAAAAATGTACAAAAAAACCTGTGATTTAATGGTGAGAAACCAGCAGCTTTCTCCTGAGACTGGGAACGAGACAAGGATGTCCCCTCTCATCACTCTTACTCCACAACATACTGGAAGTCCTAGCTAATGCAATTAAGACAACAAAAGGAAGTAAGAGGCATATAGATTAGGAGGGAAGAAATAAAACTATTTTTGTTCATAGATGACATGATTATCTATGTAGACAATCCCAAAGAATAAAAATAAAAACAAAAACAACCCTCCTAGAACCAATAAGCAATTACGGCAAGGTTGCAGGATATAAAGTTAATGCATATAAAAGCTAACTGCTTTCCTATGTACCAGCTATGAACAACTGGAGCTTAAAAGTTAAAAAAAAAAATCCATAGAATTGTATGCTTAAAATAATAAATTTTATATTACATGTATCTTACAATTTTAACAAAGCACTAAAAAAAGAGGTATAAATACAAGATCTATATAAGGAAAACTACAAAACTCTGATGAAAGAAGTCAAAGATCTAAATAAATGAAGAGAGATTCTATATTCACGGGTAGAAGACTCAATGTTGCTAAGATGTCAGTCAATTCCTCTCAACTTGATCTACAGATTCAACACAATTCCAATCAAAATCTCAGCAAGTTACTTTGTGGATGTCAATAAACTGATTTTAAAGTTTATATGGAAAGGCAAAAGACCCAGAATAGCCAAACAATATTGAAAAAGAACAACAAAGTTGAGGACTGACACCACCCGACTTCAAGATCTACTATAAAGTTACAGTAATAGCCCATAAACAGACCCACACAATATCGTCAATTGAGCTTTGACAAAGGAGCAGGAACAATTCAATGAAGAAAGGATACCCTTTTTAACGAATGGTACCAGAAGAATTGAAGACCCATATGCAAAAATATTAATCTAGACAATGACTTTACATCTTTCACAAAAATTAACTCAAAATGGATCACAGATCTAAATGTAAAATGCAAAACTATAAAACTTCTACAAAATACTAGAGGAGAAAATCTGGGTGCCTCAGGTTTTGCGACGAGTTTGTAGAAATGACACCAAATGTATGACCCATGACAGAAAAAACCGATAAGTTGGAAATTTAAAAGTTCCATTCTGTGGAAAACAATGTTAAGAGAAATGAAAAGACAAGCCATAGACAGGAAGAAAATATTTTCAAAACACATCTCTCATAAAGGACTTGTATTTAAAATGTACAACTCTTAAAATGCAACAGTAATAACTCAAATAAAACACGGGCGAAAGATCTGGACACCTCACCAAAGAAGATGAACAGATGGCAAGTAAGCACATAAAATGATGCTCAGTATCATGTCATTAAAGAACCCAAATTAAAACAGTAAGATACCACCACACACCTACGAGAATGGATAAAATCCAAAAAACTGATACCACCAAATGACGATGAGGATGTGGAGCAAAAAGAACTCTCATTGACTGCTGGCAGGGATGCGAAATCGAAGGTGGAAACCTTCAGTTTCCAACTCTGGAAGATGTTTTGGCAGGTTCTTACAACACTAAACACAGTCTTAACATGTGACCCAGCAATCACGTTCCTAGGTATTTACCCAACTGAGCTTAAAACTTATGTCCACACAAAACCTACACACGAGTGTTTAAAACAGCTCTATTCACAACTGCCAAAAACTGGAAGCAACCAGGACGTCCTTCAACGTGAATAAACAGATAACCTAACTATCCTACATCCATACAATGGAGTATTATTCAGCAAAAAAACACATGAGCTATCAAGCCATAAAAAGACATGGAGAAACCTTAAGTACATTGCTAAATGAAAGAAGGCACTGGGAAAAAGACCATCTACTCTATGATCCTAACTATAGACAAGCCGGAAAAGACTATAGCAACAGTAAAGAGACTAGTGGTTGTTAGAGCTTTGGGGAGAGTAGAGGAGAGCTTTTTGGAGCAGCGAAGTTATCCAGTATGATATTGTAATGGTGGATACATGTCATTATGGATTTGTCAAAACCCACAGAACTGTGTAATAAAAAGAGGGAAACTTAACGAAACTATGGACTCTAGTTTATAATGTACCAAGACCAGCCATGGTAGCAGGTGCCTGTAGTTCCAGCTACTTGGGAGGCTGAGGCAGGAGGATCACTTGAGCCCAAGAGTTTGAGGCTGCAGTGAGCTATGATCGTGTCACTACACTTTAGCCTGGGAGACCTCACCTCCTCTCTTAAAAAAAAAAGTAGCAATATAATTCATTAATTGTAGCATATATACTACTCTAATGCAAGATGTTAATAATAGGGCAAACTGTCTACAGTGGCAAATGGGTATATATGGCACTCTCAGTACTAAATGCTCAATTTTTCTATAAAAAGTAGTCTATTAATTATAATTTTAAAAATGCAGGTTATTAAATGATACATGTTGTATGTTCTCATTTTTGTGGTATGTGTTTATGTACATAAAAATAAGTCTGGGGCTGGGCACTGTGGCTCATGCCTGTGATCCCAGCACTTTGGGAGCCTGAAGTGGGAGGACTGCTTGAGCCCAGGAGTTGAAGACCAGCCTGGGCAACATAGCAAGACCCCATCTCTATATAAAAAAAAAATTTGGCCAGGCATATACGTAGTGGCATGTACCTGTAGTCCTAGCTAGTCAGGTGATCGAGGCAGGAGGATCACTTGAGCCCAGGAGTTTGAGGCTGCAGTTAAAAAAAAAAAAAAAAAAAGTCTGGAAGGTCATAACCAAAACAGTTAATTTAAAAAAAAAACCTCTTAATTATCCAGCTCAATACTAGTAACACTCAGCCATAAAGAAAAATAAAGAAAATAAGAGGAAGGGGACTATTTGGAAAACATTAGGTTTGGTTTTAAGAATGGATCTACTAAAGGAAAAGATAAAAGTTGGCAAATACTGACAAGCGCTGCTATTTCAGAGTGTAGACTATCTGACATAATGACTGTTCTAGTAACAATTTCTCATAATGGCACTTGAAAAGTAACATGATTTTTTGGCCAACTTTCCTTTTTCAGTATAGTAATGACTTTCCCCCTAGAACACTCTAAATTTATCAGCTATAACAAATGACATTTGGATGTTATGGTTTTAGGCAGACACTTCAATTTAACTGACACCAGTTTCTAGTCAGAGAATACCATATGGAACGAATTTGATTTGCATACCATATGTGGACGAACACAGAATGTTTGGGCTTCCATAAGTACTCCAAGTGAGAGGTACGAAGAGGAAGCACCTTCTGTGATTCTTTATGCTGTACGCATGCCCTAATTTCACGAGTTTTGAAGTTCTCGTGTGTAGCTTTCATTTAGCTCTAAAGATGTTTATGTTACTACTTTATTTTTAAAGTACCATTTGAGTACAGCAAAGGCATGAGCTAATCGAACTCTCTTTAGGGATGGCTTGCTTTACTGAATATACTATTTTGGCAAATGAGAAGATAATGCTCTGAATCACTGCACCATGTCCCGAGAAATCCTCAGGAGACTGAGAAACGTGAAATGCATACATTCAGCAGTGGAAAAATCAAACAGGTTGTGGATTACCATTACCTACCGTGACCGTACAGCATTGCTACAAGAGCTGACAGCAATGGGGAAGGGAGTCAAAATCATGAAGTCCATCTAATTCTGATACCGAATGTGTAGAAGTCCATCACCTGCCCCTCCAAGAAACATCTCCCTCACACTTCTCCAACCCACACCCACGACTGTATCTTCTAGTCCTCCTTTGGCAAGTATAATAAACCTCCTTACATTATATTTATGTAGTAACTGTATTTATAAACTCGCTTTTATTTTTCAATTGATATATAGTATTTGGATCCATACCAGGCATTTCTCCTACTGTTCTAGGTTCTTTGCAAATACTCCTTTAACTCTCACACTAACCCAACGAATTGTATACTCTCATTACCTCCATTTAAAGCTGTGGTCCCCAATCCCCAGGCCGCAGAGCTCCATACCCCTCCAACCCATCCCTACCGTCTGCAGAAAAACTGTCTTCCATGAAACCGGACCCTAGTGCCAGAAAGGTTGGGGACCGCTGATTTAAAGGATATGGAACCAGTGGTACAGACACTAAGTAACTTGCCCACAGTCACACAGCCAGTAAGTGGCGATTAGGATTCGAATCCCAAAACTCAGGCAGTTGGCATCAGAGTCCAACTCTTATTACACGGAACCACACTCTACCGCCTTACTTTGTAATTTACCAGTAAATATCTGCTCTCATGGTTTCAGATGACAACCTGCCTTTACTGAAATGCCATCTCTCTTCAGTGTATATTGTTTAATTCATAACCATTGATGTAATGGTTATAGTGCACATTAAGGAAATAGAAATGCGTTTTCCCCAGATTTGAAGATAGTAAAATCAGGGACTCTTTTTCTCAAATGTTTAATTTCCATTTTCTTAAATGCAACTTTTAAAAAGAACAGGTTTAACTTCCAAAAAGTTAGGGCATTTTGCTGATACCCTAAACAACGACTAAAATAACTTCACCATGATTTTAATTAAGACTAATGTTTACTTTATTAGTATGCAAAACTCCCTAAAAAAGAACAATAACGTTAACAGACTGCACTTTTAAAAGCTTTCAATAATCAAAACAGAACCACAGAAATGCCTCTTCGTGGTTCAGCGAAGGCAAAGGTAGTTTTCTCCCCTTCCAAACTAATTCTGCGGAGTGTGAAACATTAAGATGGTTTTAACGTCTGAATTCAAAAGGCAGTTATAATTAATGGGAAGAGAAAGGGCAGAAAAGGTGGAAAACACATGAAGCACCAACAGTGATGGAATACGTGAAAAGGGGGCAGAATATGCTTTCCATAGTGGAACACTGATGTTTGACCACTTAACCCCAGTATTCCAATGGGATGAAGGTCAGGACTATGACCTTTATCTGCTGATTAAGGTTCCAATTTAGGTTCCTAACAGCAGTTATCTCAGACTGAGAGCTCTTATTTAAAACGATCCTTTACTAAAAGATCTTCAAATTGTCTTACAGGTGTTTTTGTAAAAAGATATTTCTAAAATTTTATGTAAAATGATTTGTCTTTGTTTTAGAAACGCTTCCGCTTTTTAAAGATCAACTTGGATAATACTTAAGGTTCTAAAAATACTGACAGGCTGGGCTTATGCCTGTAATCCCAGCACTTTGGGAGACTGAGGGGGGAGGATCACGTGCACCCAGGAGTGTGAGACCAGCCTGGGCAACACAGCAAGACCCTGTCTCTATAAAAACATAAAAATAGTGATAGATGGTATTAATGCAAAGCAAGAGGGGAAGGACAGGAGAGCTGATGTCTGCTGAGCACCACTGCATGCCAAAAACTGTCCCAGGAAGCTGACACGGTATCTATTTGTCCACCACCACATTTTAGCACTTTCCATAGCATCAAATGGTGCAGGGCAGGCACCCAGCAAATAAATGTCTGCTGAGTGGTTAACAAATGGGACAACCTGCACAATGGAGAGTTCGACTACAAAGTGACTTAATTGCCACGAATATTCTTTTTCAATATTTAAAAAAAAAAAAAGACTTTGAAGGCCAATCCACCAAGAATTTTATGTAGCTAATTCACATCAGATTGAAGTATCAGTACACTGAAAATCTTGTATATTGCTATAAATTCTTTGCTTACTGAAAAACGCATCTATTTCAATTAATGTTTTAAAGTCCCTTCACGTGAATTAGGATACAAAAATCTACTTTGGTTCTGTAGCTTCTTAGAAATCCTCCATACTGTAAAACCAGGCAAGTGCTAGAACACAGCCTACAGACAATAATCCCCTTACGACCCTGTGTGAAATTCTTCCATACTGTCAAGCTTCAAAACATGTCATCCTATGATACAGTACCATTCACAAACCAACTTTTATCTGCCCATTCCTAGGCCCTTTAATATACATCTTTCCCCCAACCCCCAACTAATGCTTAAAATTCTCAAAACTTGTGGCACCCTTTAACCGCGTGGCAGTTAATAAAGGCCACTTAAAGCCTCTCTCTCCTCCTCAGGACCTTGGGACAATTTCATGACCTTGCAGGGTTACTGCTTCCAGCTAAATGACTTCGAGATAGCGCCAGGTGTCTTTCCTGTCTCCGCTAACAGATCTCTAAGGTCCCTTCTGCACCAAGACCACCATCGGCGCATGAGGGCACTCATTTTGTTCGCCTCAAGGACATAAAGCACAACGGAACCTTCCGCTAGGCTTTTTCTCAGGTCCCCCCGCCACCTCGCGGGCCGTGCTGAAGACTCCCCGAGATCTGGAGCCTGGCTCGCAGCTGAAGCTCAGGAAGAAATAATTTATTGGCTGAATGAATCCAAGGCCGCCTTGGCATGAATTCGGCCTAAGGTCGCAGTCTCCAGGGCCCAGATCACCCCTCCAGCCGCAGGGGACGTGGCGTCACCTTGTTCCGCCAGAGCCGGCCCCGGCCCCGGCGCGCGCCCTTCCGGGCTCGGAGCCGCTTCCCGCATCCCGGCTGCCCGGGGCCTCGGCGGGGCGAGCGGCCTCCCCCGGGCCCGCCGCCCCGGTCCTGCCCCGCGTGCCCTGCCCGCTCCTCCACCCCATCCGACCGAGCCCTTCCTTGCCTCTCAGTCCTCCCGCTCCGCCCGCAACCCGCCGTACCATTGCGGCTGCAAGGCCCAGGCCGAGACCCCCGCGACGCCCGCCCGAGAGAACATGGTGGTACCAGCCCTGCTGAAGGTCGCTTAGACAGGCCTCACAGCGTATGCGCAGAGGCTTCCCGACGCGCTCCTCCCACTTCGCTTTCTTCTTCAGTCTCGCTTCCCCACGCCAAACCGAGTGAAGTCTCGCGAGCGTTGGAACCCAACCTTCCCAGGCCCCACCTCCTTCCGCCTCTCAGCTGGTATTTGTCCCGCCCACCCCCGCCAACCCGGTTCCGCTTCCGGTTGGAGGAGCGCTGGGCTTTAGGGAGTGTTTGTTGTGGTGGTCGCGATGGGAAAGTCAGATTTTCTTACCCCCAAGGCTATTGCCAACAGGATCAAATCCAAGGGGCTTCAGAAGCTGCGCTGGTATTGCCAGATGTGCCAGAAGCAGTGCCGGGACGAGGTAAGTGGGCCCGCGTTGGCTCCATCTCCCTAGGAGGCCCCGCTGGAAATCCAGGTTCTAGTCCCTGCCTAGGGAGCTGAGAGCGCGAATCTCGGGTTCCAGGTCCTGAGGCTTCTGGGGTCTGCAGTGGGCGAGTCCACTACTCAACAGTAGAGCCGTCCTTCCCTGCGGCCCCTGTCCTAGCGACAACCTGGGGTCTTTGACACGGCATTCCTCCCACCCCCCAAAGATAGGATATCAGAAAAGGTTTTGCAGCCTCCTAGGAGCGTGAACAGTGCAGTGCCAGACGCACGCCCGGGCAATAACAATAACAATCATCGTCTATGACTTGTGGCTCTCAAGAGAAACGGAATGATTAGGATCAGATGAAAAAGGAAAACTAAGCTATTCCACACTACTCATCTAACAAGCATGTATTGAGCACCTGTAGCGTACGAGGCCCAGAATAATACTGTGGTTAAGATTGTGGATTTATCTGGAGTCAGACTTTCAAAATTATGAAGTCAAATTGTACCACTTACTAGCTGTGTGGTCTTGGGCAAGTTATACTACTACTTACATTCTCTTTGCTTGTTTACTTATCTGTAAAGTGGGAATAGTAATTGTGCCTACTTGTAGGATTGTCGTTGAGGTTTTTGTTGTTGTTTTGTTTTTTATACACCTTTCTTTTTCTTTCCTTTTTTTTTTTTTCATTGATTTTTAAATGAGCGAGTTAGATGTAACATGGCTCAGGTAGTCTTTGGGCAGATCTTGAAAAGCCTAGTATGCTGAGCAATGGAGTTACACTTTTCTCCGTTAAAGAGGTGGAAGATGGAACACTGTTGAATTGAGAGCAGGCTAATGATGCGATCATATTTGTCTCTGGAGATTGTGTTGGCTAGGGGTGGAAGAACACTGAGGAAATTGGAATTGTACAATTCAGTGTTTCTGCAAATGAGGGATGAGATATTTCTCTTTCATATGTCTTTAGTTCTTTCTATTTAATGAATATCCACCTATCCATTACGTAGTGTCTTGGTTGGCTTGGATTGCTGTAACAATACCATAGACTGGGTGGTTTAAATGACGGAAATTTATTTCTAATAGTTCTGGAGGCTGGGAAGCCAAGATCAGGGTGCTGGCATGGTCCAATTCTGGTGAAGGCCCTCTTCCTGTTTTGCAGACAGCTGCCTTCTGTGTCCTCACAAGGTGAAAGGGGCAAGCTCCAGTCTGTTTCTCTTCTTATGAGGGCACTAATCCCATCATGCGGCCTCTACCCTCAGGACTTCATCTTCCCAAAGGCCCTGCCTCCTAATGTCACCCCCTTAGGTGTCACGGTTTCAACATATGAATTTGGGGAGGACATAAACATCTAGTCCATAATATCCAGATTTAAAAATACTTTATTTTGCCATATTTTTTAAAAAATATTTTAAACTAAAGTACAATCATCAGGATATTGCAGCTCTAAATACTTAAATATGCATTTCTAAAATATCGGGATACTTGCCTGCATAGCTACAATATATGTCATCAACATAACAAAATGAATAAAAATCCTTCTATATCATCTAATACACATTCAATATTCACACTTCCTCTTTTATCCCCGAAGTGTTTCTTCAAACCAAGATCCAGTCAAAAGCCATGAATTGGATTTGCTTATTAGGACTTTTTTTTAAAAAATAGATTTTATTTTTTAGGGTAGTTTTAGGTTCACAGCAAAAACAAACTTGAAAATACAGAAATTCCCCGTATACCACCTCCTCAATTGTGCACAGCCTTCCCCATTATCAACATCCTGCAATAGAGTGTTATGTTTGTTACGATGGATGAACCTACATTGACACATGAGTGTCATCCAAAGCCCGTAGTTTACATTAGGGTTCACTCTTGGTGTTGTCCATTCTATTAGTTTTGAGAAATGCATAATGACATGTATCCACCATTATAAAATCTTACAAAATAGTTTCACTGCCCTAAAAGTCATCTGTGCTCTGGGTTATTAGGACTTTTAATTCTCTCTAGCTTTAATTCTTTCTAAATTCTAAATTTGGAATAGAACCCATTCCCCTCTACCCTTTTTTTCTTGACATTGACCTGTTGAGGAGACTAGGCCAGTAAGTTGTCCTGTAGCAGTCTCACTATGTCGAGTTGTTTTCTTCTGGTTATCTTTTGCCTCTGTCCTCTAACTCTTATGGTTTCTGTCAGCTGGAAATTAGATCTGAAGACTGAATTGGGTTCAAGTTAAAAATTTGGGGGAAAAATACTTTGTTCTTGATCTTGTATAGATTAATACTTGTAATATTCTTTATAGGTGATTTTGTATATTTCGTAATGTATCATATAACGAAGTCAGTAATATCTGGTAGTGATAAAGGTGACAGCCTGTAAAGTAATATTGGAAAGCAATATTTTCTCCCTTGTGAGAGCAAGTAACTAGTGGAGTAATACTTTGAAATCATACCCATATATCTGTTTTCCCATTAACCTTACACCTATATGTTTTAGCATTCTTGTTTGAGTCAGTTATTTTATTAGGAGTTGCAAAGTGGTTGTTTTTCTAACTCTTTCAACATGTATTATTGGCTGCCATTCTTTTTTATTTTTATTTATTTATTTTTTTGTGAGACAGAGTCTTGCTCTGTCGCCCAGATTAAAGTACAGAGGTGTAATCACAGCTCACTGCAACCTCCAACTCCTAGGTTCAAGCGATCCTCCTAGCTCAGTCTCCTGAGTAGCTAGGACTGCAGGTACATGCCACCACGCCTGGCTAATTTTTAATTTTTTCTAGAGATGGGGGTCTCACTGTGTTGCCCAAGCCAGTCTCAAACTCCTGGCCTTAAGCAAAGTGGTGGGATTACTGGCGTGAGCCACCACACCCAGCCATATCTTTTTTTTTTTTTTTTTTTTTTTTTGAGACAGAGTCTCACTGTGTTGCCCGGGCTAGAGTGCCGTGGCGTCAGCTTAGCTCACAGCAACCTCAAACTCCTGGGCTCAAGCGATCCTCCTGCCTCAGCCTCCGAGTAGCTGGGACCACAGGCATGTGCCACCATGCCCGGTTAATTTTTTCTATATATTTTTAGTTGTCCGATTAATTTCTTTCTATTTTTAGTAGAGACGGGGTCTCACTCTTGCTCAGGCTGGTTTCGAACTCCTGAGCTCAAACGATCTGCCCGCCTTGGCCTCCCAGAGAGCTAGGATTACAGTCGTGAGCCACCACGCCTGGCCACCAGCCATATCTTTTTTAAAAATGAGCTTTTGCACATCAACTAGAAATATTTGGTTATTCTGAAATGCAGTTCTTATGAGAAAGGAATAAAATGATTCTTTCCTTTAATTACCAGCTTCCAGAGGAAGGCTCTTGTAGTGGTTCTGGGCCTGTTTGCTCTTAGATCTGTTCGTTGCCCTTCCTTATCTGGGAGGGCAGCCTGGGGGAGGCGAAAGTTGACCCCTGCAAGTCCCTTCCCCGGTCTTCTATCTCCCCATATTGGAAGATGGAGGAGATGGAAGGTTGGAGCCAGAGTATTCCCCTCCCCAATCTACTCTGGATTTCTAGAATTTAATAACATTGTTTTGTTTTTATTTTATTGATTTATTTTTAATTTATGGAAAGCAGTACTTTTTTTTTATTTATGAGGCTGACACCAACTTTTAGGATAAATTTAAATAATAGCTATGACACAGGTAGTACACAGATGAGGTAAAAATCGTATGGGTGGTCTGCGGACTAAAGATTAGGAAACTGCTTTAAGTAAGATTGAGTGTAGAAATCTGGACAGTGGCAATGGGATTAAGCAGAAGGGCTGGATGTGAGTTATTAGGAAGGCTGAAAAAATTTACTAGTAAATTAAATGTAGAAGGAGAAGGAGAAGTGTATGCTGTTGCCTGGTTTCCTGGCTTGGGTGACTGGTTATGAGATAGAGGTGTTCACTGAGATAGGTGACATGGGAGAGGCATGTTTTTCATTTCCATTACTAGTGAAGAACCAGGTTCAAATATTAAGTAGAAAACATAGATACTAAGTCAAAACTTTTATGTTTCTTACAACCATCTTAAGACGGTACAGATTTAATATATTGAACAATGTAATATGCCACAGTGTATTTTGGATAATGAGCTGAAGTAGAGTGAAAGTAGTTTTCAGGACAGAAATCACTAATGACCCACTTTACTCCATTTCTGTAACACTGTATGAAGTAGGTGCTCCGTTAGAATTGGCTAACTTGAGTCCAAAAAATGAAATCACTCTTCTGTTACTGTGCCTGGTAATGTTTCTTATTAATGTCTATTTTCTACAGCACTATTTTGCTGTCTCTTTGATTTCAAGGATTATTCTTTGATTAGTTGCAAAGCTCAACTCCATAAAAAATATTTTTAAAAACCTGATAGGATAGTTACAGCTAGTGATTTGATTATTTCTTACAATTTATCATCAAAGAGCAGATTTTTAGGGTTTAAGTACTTCTGTTTAGAGCGCATTTCCATGACCTAAATCGCGATTTAACTACTACCTTTACATTTTTTGTAGAATGGCTTTAAATGTCATTGTATGTCCGAATCTCATCAGAGACAACTATTACTGGCTTCAGAAAATCCTCAGCAGTTTATGGATTATTTTTCAGAGTAAGTAACTCAAAGAACTCCTTATCTCAAAAGCTTTATTCAGTTGGACATGTAATAGATGGTTAATATTTTATTTATTAGAGGTTCTATTATTTCTTATATGTTAACATGGTAACTGTATTCTCCATAGGCTCAGTTTTTATCATTTTTTGAGAATTTTTTATAGTATGAAATTGTTACAAAAGCGTTTCTCACAATTTAGTTTTTTCTTCCTTCCAGTTCAAACATATGAAACTATCTTTCATTCTAACCGAGTTATGACTGAGAACACAGGCTCTGCAGTCAGACTGCCCGAAGTCAGACTCTTTTCCACCTAGAAGCTGTGTGCCTCTAGACAATCTACTTAGGTTTTTTGTGCTTTAATCTCCTCATCTGTAAAATGGCACTAAAAATAGCAACCTCTTCCAAGTATTCTTGATCCCTCATAGGGTTTATATAAAGAGTCAATGAATTAATATATATATCTTTTTGAGATGGGGTCTCGAACTCCTGGCCTCAAGTGTTCTTTCTGCCTCAGCTTCCCAAAGTTCTGGAATTACTGGCGTGAGCCACTGTGCGTGGCCACAATGAGTTAACACTTTTAAGGTGCCTTAAAGAGTTCTCAATATTTGATTAAGATTAACTGTTAGTTATTATCATTACTATTAATAATCTTGCTTCTATCCATCTCTTTCCAAAGTCCTAGACCTTTTGGTCTTAGGACTCCTCTATACTCTTAAAAACTGTTGAAGACCCCAAAGAGCTTCTGTTTATGTGGGGTATATGTGTCAACACTTAGAAATCAAAACCAAGATATTTTTAAAAATGTATTTATTAATTAATTTAAAAATAGTAATATACTTATTACATGGTAAAATTTTTTTAATGAAAAGCAATTACATTTTCCAAATAAAAAACAGGCATTGTTTTTACATTCTTATAAATCTCTTCAATGTCTCATTATAGCGAACAATTGGGTTCTCACATCTCCTTCTACATTCGGTCTATTGTGAAATGTTTTGATTGAAGCACTTAAGGAAAATCCAACCTATACATACGTATGTGGTTGGCAGGGAGGAATATTTTCATAAGCTTTTCAGATAATTTTAGATATTATTTTTTGATACTACATCAAAACACAATGTTTGGCAGTTTCTTAAAGATTAGTTGCAATGTGGAATCTGAAACCAGGTCCCTGAACTTTTTGTCCTGTTATATTAAAATCCATGGGTTATCTTTTACTTTGAGTGGATCTTATACTCATGCATGATTTTGTAACATTGTGCGCTGGTTGTTTGAAATATACCGTTTCACTGAGTTTCACAGATCTTCTAAATGGTGACACATTTTATCAAACAATGTAATTGAATCATATTCACTAATATCAACACTGATGCCATCAGAAACATCCTTAAACATTGGAAAGCATGTCAAAGTCCCAGTGGCAGATATTAGTTTGCAAGCTCAAATTTTATCATTGGCAACGGATACTGTCAGTTGTTTTCCTTAACGTGACAGACTCACTTTATCTTTCAGAAAATGTGTGCCAATAACCATTGGAATAATGATAGTTTATATGTCAGTTCTTTCAAGTAAAGATGAAAAAGGTATTTCAGCTCACAGCTCAGTCACACTAGTGCTTTGCTCAGGACATTGTACAGCTGCAGAAGTGGTTTGTTCATAACTCTCATTTCATCACAGAATGTTAGAAAGATGTTTACTTGAGGGTTGAGATTTAATGCAATCCATAATTTTTACTGCGAGTGCACGGCAGAGAGGAGCGCACCGCGTGCTAGCGAGGTTTGGTATCGCTGCTCTCTGCCTTAACTTGGGCTAAGCTGCCAGCAGGCTTGCCTCCATGGCTTTTATGCCATCAGTGCAAGTAACACAGTGACAAAGGCAAAAATTGTTTACCTGTGAAACACCCGAAGCCATCTTGAATACCACCAGGTTGCGTGAGTCACACTTTGGGAAACACCATTCTAGCAAGAGCTGTCTACACCCGCTGCCTGCCTTCCACCACATCACCGCTCAGCCCGCGGAGGCCGACTTCCGCCCTTTCAGTCTCCCGGAGAGTCACTGGCGCCTTTTCCATCTCGGTCTTCCTTGATCTTTCCTCACAGGCTAATGCTCTTAACTGAAACACTGTTCTTTCATGGTTCTCCTACTTCTCCTGTCTTTGTGCCTTTGTGCTTTCTTTCTTCATTACCTCCTCCTCGAATTTCATTTCAGCTCCTCGAATGTAGAAAGTTCTTCCAGGTGCCCACCTGACCTCTTTTTTGAATTATAGGTTCCCCCACACCCCAGGATAATTCTAACCTGTCTTTCTGAAGGCCATCTCGAAGTGAACATTTCTAAAGCAGAGCTCAGTATTCTCCCTACCCAATCTGCATCTTATCCTGTGTTGGCTAGTAGCCATCCACCCAGACTCCTAAGCTGTAAACCTCGAGTTCTCTTGGGATTCCCTCTGGTCAGTTCTCCTGCGTCATGGCTTTTAAACCTATGTCCTTTCCATTCTCAGTGCCCTAGTAATAAATAGTTCTCAGCATCTTTCACCTAAAGGATTTCAGTGACTTTCTCCTGGTCTCCCAACCTGCGGCTTTGGCCCCTCCCGTACACACTTTATGCTGATGCTTCACAAACCCCTGTGTGCGTCAGAAGCTCCTGGAGGGCCTGTTCACAGAACGCAGACCCCACACCCAGCTTCTGAGTCAGCGGGTCTGGATTTTGCGCTTCTGTCCAGTTCCCAGGGGTTGCTGATGCTGCCAGTCGGAGGGCTGCAGCTTAAAAATTATTCCCTCCTGTCCATCAGGGTTGTCTTTTCTAAATCACAGATTTTAACAAATTACTTCTCAAATGAAATTCATACTCATCCTGTTTAGCATGACATTCAAGGCACTTCAAGAATTAACCCAAACCTTATTTTTACTTTCTGGCCACATCTTCCCTTTTATTCTGCCCCCTCTCTCACCCTCATTTTTATCTGCCCTAAACTTTAGCCAAATCAGGTTGAGTGTTATTTTTCAAATGTGGTGCTTTCCTGCCTCGGTGCCAGCTGGGAATGGCCTTCTCTTCCAATTCACCTATAAAAGTTTTGTTTATATTTCACTGACCATGTTAAAATCACCTCTGGGTATCTCCCTTAACTCTTTCTGTGATACTTAGTTGCATTTCCTTTTCAGTTTAACTTCTGTTATGATTGGCTCTGCTAGATTGTAACGTCCTTAAAGGTCACAATTTATGTTTTATTCACTTCTGTTTATCTAGCACTTAACACAGTGTATCCAGCTCAGAGGGATACATTACCTGCCAATTTCATGTGCAAAGGCAGTTTTGTTGTCAGGTAGAATGGGGCCTATCATACCACATTCAGTAGCATTAACAGTGACTCACACCTGTAATCCCAGCACTTTGAGAGGCTAAGACAGAAGGATCATTTGAGGCCAGGAGTTCAAGACCAGCCTAGGCAACATAGCAAGACCTTGTCTCTACAAAAAAATTAAGAAAAATTAGCCAAGCGTGGTGGCCTATCCCTGTAGTCCCAGCTACTCTAGAGGCTGAGGTGGGAAGATTGCTTGAGCCCAGGAGTTCGAGGTTACAGTGAGCTGTGATCCCACTAGTACACTCCAGCCTGGGCGACAGAGCAAGACCCTGTCTCAAAAAAGAAAAAAAAAGAGAGAGAGACCCTCTCCAAAAATAATGTAGTAGCTTTTGCTATGGCTGCTTTACTAAGATAAAAAATTTCAACTCCAAACTGACTTTTAACCTTTAATCCTTGAAAGCTATAATCTTTTGTTCAGTTTTTAAAGGTTCAACAGATATTCATGGATGTTTTATATATCATTTGGGCATTAAAACTATATGATTGCTTAAATTTTAGGAAGTTGATGCGTAAGCTTAATGCTTTCCTTTCTTTCTTTCTTAGGGAATTCCGAAACGACTTTCTAGAACTTCTCAGGAGACGCTTTGGTAAACATCTCAAGTATTATGCAGATAACTTTATAACCTTACAAATCTTCTTAGGATCAACAGTGTCGTATTTTGTTCTTAGGCACAAAGAGAGTCCACAACAACATTGTCTACAATGAGTACATCAGCCACCGAGAGCACATCCATATGAATGCCACGCAGTGGGAAACTCTGACTGATTTTACCAAGTGGCTGGGCAGAGAGGGTGAGAATAAGAGATTATGTGAATAGTCGTTATGTGACTTCGTTGATGGGAGAGAGAGAATTGCCATTATTTCTTTCTAAATTCATGAAAAAAAGGATGCAGGGCAATTGGAAAACTGGAGGAGAGGAGCATACTATCCTAGGATTGACTTTGTTTTTTGCAATTGAACGGAAACGTCTGGAATAGTTCTTTGGACAGTGATTTATCACTGACACATTCTCTCATTTAGGTTCAGAGTTATTAGCAAGCTCTTCTATCCTCCCAGCTCCCACCTTTGGTACTCTATCTTAAGATTTCTGTTTAAAGTTGCTTTTTCTTTTCCTATTTCTAATCTTCATAAGATGAGAAGTTGGGGATATGAAAAGGGAAAAAAAATTGTGTCAATGTTTTGCTTATTCATTGAATTACTTTATTCCATTTTAGGGGATTAAATTCTGCTTAAAATTAACAGAACATCATGTACTCATTGAATATAAACATTAAGACAGGATTAAGAAATTACTCTGCAAGATAATAGAGCTGTCCCTTGGTGTCCAAGGGGGATGGGTTCCAGGACCCCCCACTGTTAGCAAAGTCCACGGATGCTCAAGTCCCTGATATAAAATGACATGATGTTTGCATATAACCTACGCACATCCCCCCGTATACTTTAAATAGTCTCTAAATGACGTACCTAATGTAAATGCTGTGCGAATAGTTACACCATATTGTTTAGGGAATAATGACAAGAAAAAAATGTCTGTACATGTTCAGTACAGACACAACCATCCATTTTTTTCCCTAATACTTCTGATCTGCTGTTGGTTAAATCCACAGATGTAGAACCCACAGGATATGGAGGGTCCATTGTACTTATTTCGTATGTTTCCCTTATTTAAATATGTTGCTTTGTCAGGCACAGTGGCTTATGCCTTGTAATCCCAGCACTTTGGGAGGCTGAGGCAGGAGGATCACTTGAGCCCAAGAGTTCAAGTCCGCAGTGAGCTGTGATGACAGCTACTGCGCTCCAGCCTGTGCAACAGAGTAAGACCTTGTCTCTTAACAATGAGATAAAAAGCTTTAAAAAAAATTAAATAAATAAATATGTTGCCTCAACCTAGCTATGTAAAAATCAGTATAATAAAATTTTCTTTTTTAAAAAATAAAGAAAATATTCCACTCGTATCTAAATCGCATTGAGTATAAACATGAAAAATTCACATGCTATTTGTGTATTTGAATATGTTTGAGTATATTTGAATGAATGAGTGAATGTATAGAGGTGGAACACATTTATATTTACATTTGCTTTGGATGTACACAAATTTACAGTGTCGGTTGTTTTTATTAAGGCTTGTGCAAAGTGGATGAGACACCGAAAGGCTGGTATATTCAGTACATAGACAGGGACCCAGAAACCATCCGCCGGCAACTGGAACTGGAGAAAAAGAAGAAGCAGGACCTTGATGATGAAGAAAAAACTGCCAAATTTATTGAAGAGCAAGTGCGGAGAGGTCTGGAAGGGAAGGAACAGGTGGGCAACAAAATCCTCCAGAGAGCCAATGCAAAAAGATCTAAAGAAGCAAAATTCATTTTTTTTTTTTTTAAGCATTGAATCAAATCTTTGTAGGCATTTCCTCTTAGTTTCTTAACTAAGAGGAAAAAGAGCCTGATGTGGCATCAAAGCACAGGTTGTAGAGTTGTTCTGGAGTCAACACAAACTTTGCTTTAATTCTTGACTTTCTAGACCCCAGTTTCCTTATCCCTAAAATAGAGACAATACCTAATGCGAAGACATATAAGCAGCTAATTTCAACTGACTGTGGTTAATGCAATGCTGCAGGTAAACACACTGTGTGGGAACATAAGGGCCAACGTTTCCTGCAGCCCGGGTAGGACAAAGCATGTTTGAGGCAGATACAGCCCCTCAGCACAGGAGTCTTGAAGAATGAGCAGGTGGAAGCCAGGTGGATGGGGGAGGCAAGGGGTTCAAGTGTTAGAATAACTAGTTCAAGGCATTTATTGCAACAAAAATGTATCAGTGCCTCCCGTGTGCCAGGGCTTCCCTAGGCACTGGGCATACACGGTGGACCAAAGATACAGAAAACTGCCCCCCGCAGCTTACATCCTAGCAGTGTGTGCGAGCAGAAAATATAGCCTGGTGTGTATGTGAATCTACTAGCCATTTAGTGTTTTTTAAAACTTTGTATTAAGCTCTATCATATGTTGATTAAAGTGTATGAAGTGCATTAATCTTACGTGCACAGTTCAATGAACTGTTACAGATGTGCGTGTGTGGTGAGTGTGAGAGCACAGGCCAGCACAAGCTCGTGCGTCTGTGTAGCCACCACCCAGATAAAGATACAGAACATTTCCAGTATCCCAGAAGCTTCCCTCACTAATACCCCTCTCCCTGCGAAGTAACCACTATTGATTATTGATTAGTTTAGTCTGTTCTTAAGGTAGGGCTAAGGGATAGGGATAAGGTAGTCTGTTCTACCCTATCCCTATTCAAAGATAGAATAACTGAGACTTAAGGGAGATGCCGAGGCTGACAGATTACAAAGCTCATAGGCTACACAGGTGGGTTTCATATATGCAGTTTTGTTTGAGTTTAGTCTAAGGCTCTCTTAATCATTACACTAAATTATACCACAATGTGGAAACATTTTGCTTTTTAAAGTAATGCTCTAGGTAAAATTCCTAGAGTTTATTGCTTTATATTTTGTTGTTTCCTATTTAAGTTGTAATAGAAATAAAAATGTAGGTAAACTATAGTTTGGTATGGAAAAGCTGCTTTTTTGTCCTTTAGAATAATTATCAAGTGGAGAATATTCGCAAAGCATCTAATTTCTTAATGAGGATCTTAATCATTTAGAGTTGTATCTTAGAGCTGCCTTGCAACACAGGTAGTATGTCATAATTTAGGCCTATTAAATATTGATAGTCAATGCACTGTAAATCAAAACTTTCAACCTTTTTTTTTTTAGGAGGCCCCTATTTTTACGGAATTAAGTAGAGAAAATGATGAAGAGAAAGGTAGTTTTAATTTTTCTTCTTCTTTTTTTTTAATGTGTATGCTTTTGTATTGGCTTTGCCAAAAACTAGCAACATGTCAACATGTCTGGTAGCGACATGTAATCTGTCTGGGATGCATCGTTCTTATCTATAAAATGAAAAGGAATACTAATGAATTAGATGGGATGCCTTCAGCCAAGTAACAAAATTGACTAAAATTAGCCTAAACAATAAGGAAATATATCTTGCCATAATAAGAATCCCAGATGTAAAGTGGTTCGGTATGCCATACGGAAACAAGGTAGCTGCCAACACTCCAGCCATCACTTCCAGACCCAGCATTGTCCAGAGAATGGCAGAGAGTATCTCTTCTGGAGTCAACTGTAGGAGCAAGGAAACTTTTCCTGGGATACAATCCTCCTGCCAACACACTACCTTTTGATATCATTGGCCAGATACTCAAAAGGAAGCGTGTCACATGTCCACCTTAAAAGCAGTCATTGGGATTATGTCATTGGTTTAAACAACCAGAATTTACCCCAGAGATGAAGATGATGTTATGTCCCCTAAGCCACAGGCAAGAGATGTGGACACTTGAACGAACTTGGAATACTGCTAGCCGGGGAAAGGGCAGGAAGTACTGTTAGGAAGGGAAGCGGGGAAGCAGCCAGCACTGTCTGCTACAGCGACATGACATGCGGGGTCCCTCCTAGCTCTCTCTGTTTCACACCGGGACATTTTTCAGAGATATGTGATCTTTGGATGGGGGCATTTTAGCTCTCATTTATTTAAAATGTCTATTAATTCTTCTGTGAATACCTTGTGGTATCTTTTCTCGCTCTGTCACCCCGGGTAGAGTGCAGTGGCGTCGTCATAGCTCACTGTGACTTCAACCTCCTGGGCCCAAGCGATCCTCCTGCCTCAGCCTCCCAAGTAGCTAGGACTATAGGCATGAGCCACCACGCCCGGCTAATTTTTCTATTTTTAGTACAGACAGAGTCTTGCTCTTGCTCAGGCTGGTCTCGAACTCCTGACCTCAAGTGATCCTCCTGCCTCAGCCTCTGAAAGTGCTAGCACCCAATGTCTGAGCCACTGCACCAGGCCTACCTTGTGGTATCTTATCTGATAGGTTCTAATTATAATTTTCCTGAAGTATATATGGAATATCAATTTTTTTCTTCTAGTTACGTTTAATTTGAATAAAGGAGCATGTAGTTCAGCAGGAGCAACATCTTCCAAGTCAAGGTGAGCCACATTCACAGGTATCTTGAAACTTTAGGATTTTTGTGAAATGTAGGTGGTTACTACATGTTATAGTATTGCATATCATTTTTTTCTGGTTGCAATTTTCTTCTTTTTTGGTTTTTCTTTGTTGATTGGGGCTTTTGTTTGTTTGATTGATTTTTAGCAACTGTTCTTATTTGCCGGTGATGAGATTCGATCTTTTGAGGAAAGGCTTGTTTTGATTAAATGCTTGACATAGATAAACTTCTGGTTCACTATGAATCCTTCTCCATGTAATGGTTCTGTCTGTACTATTATAAAACTGTTTATTTTCCTATCATAGCCCACTTATCACAGTTTAAATATTAGCTGGGTGTACGTTTTTCTTTTACCCTCTGTGTTGTGGTTTTCTGAGAATAGAGACTCGGTGATCAGCCTGTGTCCTAAGCACCCAGTGCAGTGCAAATGCACTAGTAGCTACTCGCCTTCCCTTCTGGATGCTGTAGTACAGAGCTGGGGTTGGCGAACTTTTTCTGTAAAGGACTGTATAGTAAATAGTTGAGGCCATTTTGGCCATATGTCTTTGTCACAACCACTTAAATCTGCTATCGTAGTGAGAGAGCAGCCATAGACAACAATACGTAAATGAGTGGAGCATGGCTGTGCACCAGGGAAATCTTATTTCCAAAAGCAGGTAGCAGGCTGGATCTGGTCCTCAGGCTGCAGTTTGCCAAATCCTGGTATACTGTGTGGTCAGGTAGTTCTATCTGCTTTTCTTGTTACCTTCTCCTGCAATTCTTGTATATTCTTTCACCAAATCTTTAGTCACTATTTGTGATGTGCAGTGTATTCAGTTTTGTTATGGAGGTTAAAAAAGATGAGTAAGACAAGACACTCAAATACCAGTGTCTACTGGAATTTACTTTTAAACTGGGTGATGTTATCTATTTTACTTAGTGTTTAACATGTTGTTTGTTTAAGATCTAAGTTTTTTGTGTTCATTTATAGGTCAGTGCTTATTTGCGTGATTGAGTAAGTGGTTAGGAGAATTGAAGGCCATAGGCTGAGTCAGCAATAAATACCAGCTTCAAAATGACTTGCCAGATGTCTTAACTTTGATCAAAATAGTATTTAAAAATTAACACCTTCATTAGGTGTCATTAAGAAATTGGTTAATTGGGTTCTACGTGCGGTATGTTTGGAAAGAATTTTCTAATATGGGAGTGATATGACCTAGAGGACGGGCTCAAATACATCATCACGCACATCCTTGCAGTTTTAGGCCATTATGCATTTCTCTCCATTCGCTTTCATTATTTGCTATTCCTAGCCATAGACGAGTGTTAAGATTGGTTCCAGTGGGCCCAGATTGATCACTCTTATATTATTTAATAGTTTTCTATGGCTGCTGTAACAAATTACCACAAACCGGGTGGCCTAAAACTCCAAACAATGTGTTCTGACTTCTGGAAAACAGAAACATAGGGCTATTCAAGAAGATTTAACTTCCATTTCCAATCTGTTAATATTCATTTCTTGCTTTGATTTTAACCCCATCCTAACCCTGTCTCAGTCTCTCACCCCTCTAATAGAATCTTGATAACACAAGCAAAAGGACCTTGCTAAACTTTAAACTTTAAATCCTACCATCTCTTTTTTCTTTTCTTTTCTTTTTTGTTTTGTTTTGTTTTGTTTTCTGAGGCAGGATCTCTGTTGCCTAGGCTGGAACTCCTGGGCTCAAGCGATCCTCCTACCTCAACCTCCCACGTAGCTAGGACTATAGGCGTGCACCACCACCCACATCTACTTTTTTGTAGAAATGAGGTCTCGCTATGCTGCCCAGGCTGGTCTCAAACTCCTGGCCTCAAATGATCCTCCTGCCTCTTGTTTCCCAAAGCACTGGAATTACAGGTGTGAGCCACTATGCCCAGCATTTTTTATTAAAGTCTGCTAGTGTCAGCATCTATAAGATGACTTCTGATTTTTTTTATATACTGTCATACCTGTTATATCTCCTGCCCTTTGCACTCCCGCTGTGCTAAACTGTGGATTCCTGAATGTGCTATGGGAGGTTGGGGGGGGTCCTCACTTTTTCTTAACCTTTGCTTCTACTGTTCCCTCTTCCTGGAATGCCCTTCCATGTCTATTCTCCTGCCATATCGTGAGATCCTACCTGGCTATTCTGGTCATCTTTTTATCCCCATTGCTTATTGCATTCTAAACATTTAATAATGCTGAATACATTTTCTTGATAGAAAATCTCGTATTCAGTCTAATTTTATTTCTTTTATGTGTGTGATAAAATATACATAATATCAAATTGACCATTCTAACTATTTTTAAGTGTACAGTTCAGTGGAATTAAGTGAATTCTCACTGTTGTACGTCCATCACCACCATCCATCTCTAGGACTTTTTCATCTTCCCCAGCTGAAACTCAAGCCAGGTGCGGTGGCTCACGCCTATAATCTTAGCACTCTGGGAGGCCGAAGCAGGAGAATCTCTTGAGGCCAGGAGTTTGAGACCAACCTGAGCAAAATTGAGACCCCATCTCTACTAAAAATAGAAAAAATCAGCTGGGTGTGGTGATGCGCACCTGTAGTCCCAGCTACTCGGGAGGCTGAGGCAGGAGGATCGCTTGAGCCCGGGAGTTTGAGGTGGCTGTGAGCTAGGCTGACGCCACAGCACTCTAGCCCAGGCAAGAGAATGAGACTCTGCCTCAGAAAAAAAGAAAAAAAAAAATCTCATTTAATCCTTGCATTTGAATTAGAAGTTGGATCATATTATTATTTCCATTTATAGTTGAGGATTTGAGGCTTAGAAAAGTGAATTAATCCAGGTCCTAACAGAAGTAGCCTCAAACCCTGACCTGCCCAACACGGAAGCCTGGGCTATCTTCACTCTTCTATACTGACAGTAGTAACACTAACAGAAAGGGTTAGAAGGTTCAGGGAGTTGGAGACAGGACAGTTTCAATGTTCTATTAGTGACAGTCATCCCGTAAGAGATGCAACAGGTCCTTCATTGTTTTGACTAATCTGCTGTAAGTTAATTATGTAGCAAATTTATTCTGTATTGTGAATTTTGCATGTTATAAAGCATTCGTCTCTGTATGGTTCTTGTTAACAAGCATGGTTTTACTTTCCATCAGTTCTTTGGGGCCAAGTGCACTGAAGACGATAGGGAGTACAGCGTCAGTGAAACGAAAAGAATCTTCCCAGAGCTCAGCTCAGTCCAAGGAAAAGAAGAAAAAGAAATCAGCACTGGATGAGATCATGGAGGTACAGTTTGTGAGCTATTTATGGGCACTTTAGCAATTAGAGGAATGATGTAATTCAAACCTAAGGAAAGTTAAATAGCCTCACCAATTATTAGATTAATATAAACTTAGAAAAATTTTCGTATATGGGTTAGGGAGTAGGAGCCTAGCTGCAGTTCCGTCAGAACAGAGTTGGATCCCGCCCTGCCCCCGTAGGTTTATTTTCTTGCCTCACGTGCTGTCTTTGAAACTTTCCATGCAAGGATGGTCAGCAGAGTTCAGTTAGAAATTGGGATCCTCCACTGGTGCCTCTCTCCTCCAACGGGTACTCTCCTGTTGCCTCTGCATCCCACTTACCACCCCCCAGCCAGCAAGAGAAAGCTGTGACATCTTTTTAATTTGATCTAAACCGATGGCTAAGTTTATGTGGTGAGTCATTCAAAATGTATGATTATCTGGATTTAGGGCCAAACTTTGGTTCTAAATCTACCCATGACTCTGGAGTAATTCTTCAGAAGGTTCTTAATATACACCTAAGTATTCCTTTCTCCCTTCTAACACATAGCCTTACCTCACCAGTGAATTAATAAGTGGGAGAGGAGAAGAGTAAGTCTAGGAGAAGAGAAAGAAAAAATGCGAGAAGCTAACTTTTTTTGCTTTAATATCATTTCCTCTGTCCCTCCCATCTCTTTTCTTCATTCTGAAGGGATAGGAAATAACTTCACTCTTCTCTGCCCTCACACCATGCAGGGCAGTCTAAAAAGCTTAAAGTATAACTAACATAAGATGAATTCGCTATGAAATGTTGTCGTTTCGTTATTCAATCAATATTGAGTCGCTGTTATGTACTGGGCATTGTGCAAGGTGCGGGATCTGTGTGTTGGGGACAAAAACGCAGTCCCTGTTTGTCATGGGGCTTTCATTCTAGTGCGGAAGCCATTCAGTTAGCAAGTGAAGCAGGGAATGATTACAAAATGCTAAGGAGGTGAGGAGCTGGGAGGGAACTCGAAAGGTGCTGGCAGGAAAGATCAAGCATCGGAAGGAAAGGCCACGTGACTGGAGCGCAGCGAGCACGTGGTGGCAGCGCGTGAGGTTGGAGAGAGCAGGGGGACAACACCACAGGAGTCTTACGTGCCGTGGCAGGGATTTTTTTTTTAAAATTTAATTCGAAGTAAAATGGAAAGTCAGATCTACCTTTGAATATTATGCATACTAAATGCATACTACAATGGGTACTAAATTTAGAACAGTGCTTGTTCATATCAGAAAGCTGAAGGATTTAAAATGAAGTTTAGAACCAACCAAAGAATTAGTTTGTTGATCCCATCAAAAGTTCGTACTTAGGGTTAACTGTAAGCAGTTGAGAAGGAAAAAGTTGAGATATATCATCATAATGGCCAGACAGTATTTTATTCCTTTGGTCACCCTTATTTATATCTCTCAGTGGTATTGTTCTTCCCTTTCATTTATGAGCTTTATTGTCGTTCGCAAACAGGGTCCCTCATGTCTGCCATCAGACTGTATTCCTAACGGTGCTGTGCGAAATTGGTGCATGTGTTAGGTTTTACATGAAAACGTAGCCTGTTTTCTACCTTCTGACAGTCAAAGCAGGCAAGGGTGGTATGGTGCTGGCCGGTGGTCTTGCAGTATTGGCTGAATAGGGGTGATTTTTGTTTGCTTCTGGTCAGTTGACTTGCTTTATCACATATTTTTTAAAATCCAAGGTTTTTTTTAAA